ATATATCTCTGTATGATAAGATGCTTGAAGTATCTTGAACAATACTTAATAATGTGACCGAATTATTTTGGCTTGAGTTTCTTTATTGTATTGACCAATTGTGTTGTATAGTTCAGACTAAGAACTTTCTTATTTCTGACTTTGGTCTAGCCCCTCTATCTTTAGCATCATACCCACTTCTTAAAGGGGTACAAGCGTTTAAGTACAACTTCACAGAGTCCCCGCTTTAACGTCATATAGTGGTATTGAAAATATCAATTTGTAATTTTACCTTTAACTAAGATTCATGTCTATAAATCTATCAAAAATCAATGACTTCCAACAAAACGTAGAAGAAGCTCTTTCTTTAGACCAAGTAGATAGTGACCCTGAGAGCACTTGGATATATCATAAAGATAAGGTAATCAAGGCTGCAAAAGACTGTGAGGCAGCGGTTTACATTGACCGTAAGCCATGGACATCCGATAATATGTAGACTGTGATTCAACAAAGAAAATAACATAAAACTAGATAAGGAACAAATGATCAATACAGAGCATTATCGAAAAAAATTAAAAACAGTGCCGCAAAGACAAAGCTGATTATATCTCTCAAATATGCAGAGAGATAGAGAAACATGGCTGTCAAAAGGAACCCAGGAACTTATTTCATAATAACAAACTATTTGCCAGAGAATTTAAATCTCAAAGGTGGCCTGTAATAGATAAGAAAGGTAATCTAAAGACCGATACTGACAAAATATTCAAAACATGGCGAAACTACTGTGGCGAGCTAGATAAAAATAATGATGTACCAGCAGAAAACTAATGGCTCTCTGATTACACTAGAAAACCTACAGGCATTGATTCAGTACTAGGTGAAATACTACAGTTACTAGGAAACAAAAGATTACATATCATCCATTCTATCTGTGTTGCTATTTAGAATTCAGGAAAATGGTCATCTGATTGGTGTACCTCTATTGGATTATATCCCGTACACAAAAAAGGAACTATTACCAGATGTGAAAACTACCGCACGCTGTCACTAATAACACATGATAGTAAAATTTTGTTGCTTATCATCAAAAACGGATTAAAAACCTATCTAAATTACCAATTACCTCAGAAACAAACGGGGTTTGTAAAGGGTAAAGGTACACGGGAACAAATTCTGAACCTGATACAACTCATTAAAAATCTAGAGAATTTTTAGTACCTATCATTATATGCTTCGTTGACTACCAAACGGTATTTGGTTGTGTAGGCTGGATAAATCTGTGGTCAAATTTAATAGAAATAAAGCTGGTAAATATCCTTGTATTCTCAAAATTTCTGTACAGGGCAGATATTTTTACTCTTTGAGGACGCAGGCGCCAAAACATGCGTCAGTCAAGGTATAACAGTTTCAAAAAAAAAGATAATATTAAATAAATAAATAAACGACCCACTTTTTTGGAAACACCCAGGTGGAATATAATAATTCTTGCTACAACAGTATACAATACGTGTCAGAACAATTCTTGTTGTCCATTCTCCTCGATAAATGTTCCGCTCACTCCCATTTTAAAGGTTTAATTCTGTGGATTACATCAGTGATTTTGGTTTTCTGTCTGATCTATTCTACTATTTTGTGATTTATCTTTTTTACACCTAGTAAGCATCGTTTAGATAAAAGAAATGATGTTTTGGACTGTTTCTTCGATTATGAAAAAGCATTCGATAATTGTACGTCTTTAAAATTTCAACGAAACAGAAGATTTCTCCATTAAAAAAGGAGTAAGTCAAGGTGGTATACTGTCTCCAATGCTGTTCAATTTATATGTAGAAAAAGCCTTCGCAGAAGCAGTGGCAGACTCTAATAAGGGTATTAAAGTTAACGGCATATTTATTAATAATATCAGGTATGCCGATGATACAGCCATAGTGGCAGATAACATTGAAGATCTTCAATGCCTTTCTTGCAAGTGAAGCTCCTGATTTAAAAATAAATATCAAGTAAATCAATCTAAGGTTGAATGTTCGAATAAATGAACTTTGATGGTACACAAGGCAAATATCGAACACAGTAGTTAATCAAATCTTGCCTAAGTACTTTCGATCACAAGATCATCCTCAGGGGCATTTCGTCAGTTGTGGCCTATCCAGCAGTAATAGAATAATATAAATGTAAATTGGGACATAACAAATACACTAAACAAAGACAAATAAACACTTTAAAATTTAAGAAATCGAGAAGCTACATTTTATATACAAGCCGGAGACAGAACAAATATCAAGTAGACAAAAACAATGATTATAACTAGAAATGATTACCCCAACGCAAAGATATATGTATCTAAAGAAGAAATCGAACAGGTCAGGCAATTTAAATACTTGGGTTGTTTGCTAAACGAGGGTTGGGACCCCGAGAATGAAATAAAGAGCAGAGTTGAACAAGCCAGAAATGCTTTTTTGAGGCTTTGTAAGTTTCTGACTGATCGCAAATTGGACTTCAACCTCCGATACAAGATGCTTAAGTGTTACGTGTGGCCTGTTCTCTTGTACGGAATGGAAGCATGGACGTTAAAGGCCAGTTCCATTATAAAACTTGAAGTGTTTGAAATGTAGTGCCTGTGTCGAATGCTTAGAATATCATGGACGGTCAGGGTCAGAAATGAGGAAGTACTCAGAAGAGAGAGCTTACAGGATATAAACATTTTTAGTTATGTAAAAAGTAAGAAGACTGCATACTTGGGGCACATATTACTCGAAGGGAAGATAGAGGGTAGATGATACAGGGTCTGGGATGTAAAAAAATGTCATGGCTGCGCAATATTCGATAATGGGTAGGAATACACAACTATGAAATGCTTCGCAATGCTGCTGAAAACAGAAATAATTAATCTTAACTATTTACCATCTCAAATGACAAGACGATGTACGGTGGACGCCTACGCAGAAATGCACGGCACCTTAAGAAAAAGAAGCATCGTTCCATTTACCTTTGAGTTTCGCTATTATATCTTTTTTATGTCTAAGTGTTACAGCCATATGTCATGATTTGTAGTCATCTTGGATTTGAATATAACTACAGTTTTATCGAAAAATTCCCACGTCAGTGTTATTCTTCTGTTGATTTCTAGGAATAAGGAGCCAAATTTATGTATTAATTGTCTTAAGTACACATACCTACATTTGTCAATTCCTTAGTCTGTCAAAGCTTTTATTACTGCCTTGGTATATATAGAATTGAAAGATTCCTCGAAATCCGTGGTATTTTATGTTTTTTATCTAGGGTACTGAATCCACTTTTAAAGTCAGCTTGGTCTCTTGGATGGACATATAATTACAAATGAAGGTAGATATGAGCTACCCCAATGCATTTTGCAAGGTAAAATTAAAGGAAAAAGGGCCCCAGGACGAAGAAAAATATCCTGGCTTGATGACCTGAGAGCATGGTATAGAAATACTTCAATACAGCTATTCCATATAGCAGCCAACAAAGTCATCATAGCCAGAATGATCGTCAATGTTTGGAAAGGACAGGCACCCTAAGAAGAAGAATATGTATAGGTCTGTAGTTTTTGATATCCTCTTTGCTACCTTTCCTATAAATGAGAAATACGTTTGCTGTCTTCCAGTGTTATGGTATGCATCTTGATCTCTGCTCAGATTTGTCAGGTTTTTTTTTAGCATTTTACAGCAGTTAACGTGTTATGACATCTATTTCAGCTGCTTGACTGCTTTTAATTTTTGTAATTGTCGATTTAGCTTTTACCGGAAGAAATTTTGCTACAAGTGTTTTAAGGGCTTTGTACAGTTAGCTGTAGAATTTAGTCACGAGTTGTAGTATTTCATTGCTGTCTGTAATCCTGGTATATGAAGGAGACTTTCGTAAGGTTTGAGAAGGAAGCAGAGAAGATGGGGCTCCAAATCAACGAAAACAAGACGAAATATATGTATATGAGCCGCAATAACCAAAGCAGAGACAGAATCGGTCAGAACATTACCATCGATGACTTTAACTTTGAGCGCGTTACAGAATTCAAGTATCTTGGAACAACAATAACTGAAGACAATAACGGATTACAAGAAATAAACAACAGGATTCAGGCCAGCAACAGATGTATTTTTGCCCTCCAAAACCTTATAAAATCAAAACAACTAACACGACGTACGAAGATACAGGTCTATAAAACAATCATACGACCCGTTGTGATGTATGGAAGCGAAACGTGGTCGATAACAAAGGCAAATGAAGAGTGACTACGTGTTTGGGAAAGAAAAATTCTAAGAAAGATCTTTGGCCCGGTGCATGATGAAGCATCAGGACAATATAGGATAAGAACTAATAAAGAGCTCGAAGAACTTTACCCAGACGCCAACATCATAAAAGAAATAAAGTCCAGAAGACTCCAATGGGCAGGACACCTCAGAAGACATTCTGACGAACGAACAGTAAGACTGGTGTGGGAGGAAGTCCCAACTGGAAGGAGACCACGCGGACGCCCTCGTCTCCGGTGGCGAGATAATATAGCAGGAGACCTAAGCACTATGGGCTTGGAGAATTTGATGGAGGTTGCTCAAGACAGAAAACAGTGGAGGCATATTGTCGAGTCGGCTGAAACCCACGAAGAGTTGTAACGCCACGGAGTAAGTAAGTAAGTAATATAATGTAATCTTGGTATTTTCGTTTGTTAGAGCAACGATTTGCTTCTTCCCAATGATTAATACTTTTTTATTTTCTAAGATTTTGTTTTGTTTTTGACTGTATTTTCTACCAATCTTTCATTGTATTTTATTATGTCTTTCTTAACAATTTTGCTTATTGTCTTATAAACTTCTGTGTATTCTCTGTATGTTATATATAGTGTAAATATAATAATAACATTAAATTAAACTAAATAAAAGAAAAAAAGAAACCAATATGTCTCAAAGTAATAATTTTTAAATATTCTACGTTTATGCCGCCTCTTTTTAAGCGATATTTCTTTCATCTTGTAGAATAAAAACCATTGGTGCATTAAAATTCTTTTAACATCAAACACTCGTTCTCGCCACGATTCCATATTTTTTGCTTTCTCCACCTATTCTAATCGAAACACATAAGAGCAACACCGAAAGAGTCCTTTTCATGTCACCTATAAAATCTAACACTCTACCAAGCACCACTAACAATCGCTTTTTCTTTTTGAACTTACCTCTCACGGGCGGCAAGAGTCTCTTGTCATAACGTGTTGCTTTAAGAAGATTATCCAGGATCTCTTTATCGGATTTTCCCTCTTCGAATCTAAAACAAAAAGAAATATGGAAATTTTTGTATACAGTTAAAAACATCTTTTATTTATATTATAACTGCTTCGTGTTTTTTATTAAATATATGAATATTTGAACACACTGAAAAATTGTATTTTTTCCTCGTAATCATGAAAGAATTTTATTTCATGTTTCTCTTTTGTTCTAATTAATTATCGAATCGATTATGGAACTTCTTCTTCTTCTTCAAGTGCCCTGTCCGTTGCGAACGTTGGCTATTAACATGGCAATTTTGATCTTGTTTGCGGCGCTTCTGAATAGTTCGACCGATGTGAGATCGAACCACTTCCGCAGATTTGGGAGCCACGAGTGTCTTCTCCTGCCTGGCCCCCGCTTACTGTCTATTTTTCCCTGGACAATCAATTGTAGCAGACGGTACTTATCGTGTCTCAATATGTGGCCTAGATATTCAAGCTTTCTTTGTTTAATTGTATTCACGATTTCTTTCTCCTTTCCGATTCTTTGGAGTACCTCTATGTTGGTAACATGTTCGGTCCAGGATATACGAAGAATGCGTCGGTACACCCACATTTCGAATGTTTTTAGTTTTCTCGTTAGCGTCTCCGTCAGCGTCCAGGCCTTCACGCCATACAGCAAGATCGGAAAAATGTAGCATTTAACTATACGTAGTTTTAGGGGAAGAGACAAATCCTTGCTTATGAGGAGCTTTTTCATATTGCTAAATGCTGATCTAGCTCGTTTTATTCTCGCCTTAATTTCTATGGTCTGTTCCCATTTTGCATTTACGTTGGTGCCAAGGTACACATAAGATTCTACATGGTCAATTAATATGTTACTTATCCGTAATTGTCGAGCAGGTTGTTGCTTTTTGCTTATCAGCATCCACTTTGTCTTCTTGAAGTTGAGGCTCAGGCCGTATTCCTCACTAACTGAATAAAGTCTTTCCATTACTTGTTGTAATTCGTCTATGCTACTGGCAAGGATCACTGTGTCGTCGGCGTATCTTATATTGTTCGTTAACTCGCCGTTTATTTTAATGCCCTCATTTGCATTTTCCATATATTTGTTAAATATTTCCTCGGAATACATATTGAATAGGAGTGGGGATAATATACACCCCTGACGGACATCTATTTTGATCTGCACGCTTTCAGTTAGTTCGTTGCCAATTTTTGCTCTTGCTGTTTGACCCCAGTATAGGTTTGCCACAATTCGAATGTTCTTGTCGTCAATACCTGTCTTTCGCAGAATACCTATCAATTGTTCATGATTGACATTGTCAAATGCTTTTCTACAATCTACAAAGCACAGATACACGTCTTTATCAACGTCTCTACACCGTTGTATAAGCAGCGATGGATGGATAGTCCCTCCAGATACTGACAGAGAATGTAGCGTAGAATCTTTAAGTAATTTTAAACTGTTTGTCCTCGTTTTAGTGTATGTTTTGTACAATTTTATGTTATTTTTAATGTTTCCACATTCTACGCTTGCCGGATAGTTTACATTTTGACGAAATGCCCCTGAAGATGCTATTTTAAGCGAAAGTACTTGGGCTAGATTTAATTAACTTGTGCTCGATAATAGCCTTATTTTCAAAGTTCATTTATTCGAGCATTCAACCGCATTTCATTTATTAATTATTTTTATTTTTAACGAAAGTTATTCTTCATTAAACTTTTACCTGTTTTTATAATATTTGTGATCGTTATCCACATTTGAGCTTATATTCGGAAGTGTATTTAACACATCCGAAATTAACTGTTTTTCATCCATATTTAGGCTTTTTGACAAAAGTTTTTTAAGTTTTTGTTTCTTCTTTGTAAAGAAAAATTGCAATTGCTTCTCAATTTTCTTGTTTGTAGGTTCAGATTTAACAGTATTGGGTAGCGACAGCGACACATTATTAGCTTCAACATTTAATATTAAAGAAGCCTTTTTTAAATAGCTGCAACAATCTTGTAAAGCCTTTACATTTGAAGATTCTCTTACTTGTTCAGATATATTTGTTAGCAAAGTAAAAACTTTTTTCTGCATAGCTTCAACTTCAATATTACAATTTTCATCGTTTATGTTTTGCATTGTATTTAAGAGCATTTTTAATTTCTCCTCTACTTTCATTTTTATGTTTTTTTTCTGGTGTGGAATTATTTTGCTCACTTGGATAGCAGTGCCTCCTGAATTTGCTCTATGATCGTTCCTGTAGATGTCGTAGCCAGAAAACTTTATGTTTATGCTGATCGCCAATTTGGTTTCCTGTGTTGCTACGACGTTCATTTCGTGTCTGTTAATTAATTCGTCCTAAACGTTTTCATTTGTTTTTATACCGCCTGAATTCCAGGAGCCTATCTTCAAGTATCCCATTTTTGGTACCTTAGTTCATTGCTATCTTTATCCCCCCTATCGCTTCATATACCCTTTGTTGACTATTTCTCTTACGATGTGGGTTAGTTCATCTTTTTGTTCTTTGGCTGGTGTTTTTGTTGCTAAAGTATATGACTGCCCATGTATTCTTGTTGGATGTTGCACCATGTTCTTGGTTGTTGCTGCTTCTACTCTGGGTCTAACCCAGTCAGGTATTCTTAAGCATCCTCCAAAACTAGCCGGACGTTGCCCTTGACAGTTGGCATATTTTGCCTTTTGTTCTTGTGGGATTGTGCACCATTTTGTCAGGTGGTTTTTACCGCACTTTACACATCTTGGTTCTTTGTAACAGACATTTTGGACATGGTGGAAGTCCTATCAATTAAAACATTGTGTTGACCCTTGGCTTTTTCGTAGGTATTTAATTTGTATTCTCATGTACATGAGGTTAGTTATTTTTTGGTTTTTGATACGTCTTTTTTTTCTACCGTTATTACAAAGATAGCCAAAGATCTTTTTTTCGCTTTCCTGGACCTCATGTTGAAAATATTAGTGTTTTAATGTCATATTCTCTCTCTAAGTTTTCTTTAATGTCTTTGGCAGCTGTATTTGAGGGGAATCCTCTTAGAACTAGTTTTGGTTTGATGTCTTTTTCTAACGGGAATGCAATACATTGTATATTTGTTGTTTTTTATATTTTTTTATTATATGGGTCATTTTTATATATTGCTCTGGATTTCTTGTTTGTATAAGTATCTCTCTGCCCTCAGTCGGTCTTCGTCGTAACTATTACGGCACGGAGAGCTCTTGATAACCGATCCTTATTTCTCTATATCCTCCATTTTTTAAAACAAGTGCTGCCACCTATATTCATTTGAGAACGGGAATAGTTTCCGTTCGGAATTCGGAATTTCAAATAAGTGTATTAACAATGATTTTTTTAATGTTAAACCATTTATATTTACTTTGTGGTATTAGTAGATATATACATACTTATTATTTTGTTTAAGTTTATTTCCTAATACATAATTTGTTTTTCTATGACGTGATAATGTCACCTAATTATTTATTCCAATTTCTCGGAAAATGTTTTTTTTTTCAGCTAAATATAAGGTTGAATTAACCCCGCTATAATTATTATAAAAAATATGGAAGTACTCTAGTGTAAATACGACAATAATGTGTAAGATTTATTTAAAGATTATCGTGACTGCAAAGCCACAACATGCATAAGTATTGACTTTTAGATAACCTTGCCTACACACCACAGGCAACAGCAATTCTATGTTATTGAAAGTCAGCTAACATAAGGTTAACGTCAACTAATGATCAATCTAAGTCCTTCGAACTAGAGGTAAGTGGTTAAAAAACGAATCGTTCGACAGGAACAAAGCTGTAAAAATCAAAGAACAGTTTTCGTCTTAGTTGAATTTATGTTTCTTAAATCTCCATTTAACCATGCGGTTTCCGATCCCATACTCACAGTTGCACAGTTGGATATCGTATATGTGATATCGATTTGTTGTTAAATTTCTGTCGAAATAGGCGAAAACAACAATTAAAGTATGGCATACAACAGTAGACTAGGGAAATGAGTGTTTATCAACATAATAGCTAAAATTACCCTCTATTTTTAGGGAGAAGCTGTTATATCAGTCCAACAATTATTAATAAAATTAATATTTTTTGCTTCTGAAAAAAATGCAAATATCAGTAGCTGACTGTATGGGTATATGGAGGATAATAGCTTTAAGAATTGAAAATATATCAAACTAATGATGAGATGGTCCAAGTTAAAGAAACATTTTATTTTAGTTTACTTTCATGACACAGCTGGACAAGATGCTGAAACAGAAGCAGAGAATATTTATAATGAGTTAGATAGTTGCTGTCAACAAGTCCTTGTAGACACTTTGTCTCAGGACCAGAAACCTCAGGTAGAGTCTTACGTTGCCATGTTGCCATTAATTCCACTTGTAACTTTAATATCATTACATAGAAGATCCAATAATGTAACCTATATTCTGTTCACAAATTGTTAATAGCACATATAAATAAGTATACCTTATCTCTTTTGATATTTCAATACTAATCTTCGCGTTTAATCACTTTAATAGAAAACCTGGAATTCATATCAGAAAGTACTATTCGTTGAAAGATAATTAGGATGGAATTCCCTAGATTTTTAATAATATAATGGGCATAAAGATACCGGCTTTGGCCACGTACATCGTCTGTTAAGTTTATATTCGAAACTTGACTTGAAAGGATGATGTTATTACGAACGAAAACAATTTTTTTGTTTAGTTCGTTTTTGATCGCATGTAATTTACGGCTCGTCGGTGTTTCCGCGTCTGCGGCAGTAATTTGCGTCTCAGTAATATACCTGCGAACATATACGTACCTTTCGCTCGTGCTCGTTTTGTTGGATTGTTTGTGATGCTTTATCATCAACATCATTAAGTTTTACACCGGTACTGTTGCGTACAGTCAGTAAGTCTGTCTATTTACCAAGAGAGAAGACTATTGTCCTGAATGTTCACGATGCTCTGATTTCTCAGAATCCCACAAACACTGTTCTCAACATAGTCGAAAGTTGTGCCAACATGACTGGCGTAGGGGAGTTAACTATATATAGGTTCCTATCAGAAAGAAAAAAAAACACGGTATAGCTTACCCAAACATAAACGAACACTTAAAGAGGGGAAAAGCCTATTGAAATTGATGAATTTGCCAAAAATGGTATTCGAAGGAAAATTCATGAATTTTTTTTTAAAGAGATACCAAACCTAAACAAAATTTTACAAGAAGTTAGAGACTACCCGGATTTGCCTCATATAGGACGAACTAAATTGTGTCAAGTTTTAAAAGAATTAAATTTCCGGTGGGAGAAATGAGACCGAAAAATCTTTTTGATTGACGGGGAGGAGATAATATGTTGAAGAAGAAATGATCTAAGATCCATAAGAAAATTTCGGGCTGAAGGAAGGCCAATCTTCTACCAGGATGAAACGTGGGTAAACTCAGGTCATACTCTAAAAAAAAATTTGATCAGATAAAAATATATTAAACTCCAGCAAGCTTTCATGGAAGATTGGTCTACTAGTATCTCCCCACCTTCTGGTAAAGGCAGTAGATTAATAATTTCGTACATTGGCAGTGAAAAGGATTTGTTAAGCATGGTTTGTTGCAATTTCAGTCCAAAGGCATAACTGATGTTTTCGAAGAGTATTTTGAGCAGATGATTGAACACATACCACCAAATTTAATTATAGTATTAGATATTGCACCTTATTATTTACGACTAGTAGAAAGACTTCCAACAACTGCGTGGAAGAAGCAGGATATTCTTGACTGGCTGCGGAATAAGTAGTTTTCTTAGAAAGATGGAATGGTAAAAGCAGAACTTTTAAAAATTGCCCGGCAACACAAATCTAAGTTCAAGAAATACGTATTTGACAAAATGGCGGAAAGGCGAAACATCACAGTTTTTAGACTTCCACCCTACCACTGAGAAATAAATCCAATTGAACTTATTTGGGCACAAATAAATAGTTATGTAGCTAGAAAAAATACGTCATATAAAATATAAGCTGTACGTGAATTGTTATATGAGTTTTTACAACATATTACAGAACAAAACTGGAAAGATGCAGTAAGACATGTAATAGAAGAAGAACAAAAAATATGGAATCTTGATAACATAATTGGTGCAACCGTAGAGACACAACCGCTAATTATTAACCCTCAAGACGACTCGGATTCCGAAGTTGATCCTATTTATTTTGAATTTGAATAGTTTTCTAATCGTAAGTATATAAGGTTAGTAATAGTAGTTGAAATCGTAAGGTATTAAAGGGGAAAGGCGCAAAATGTCGCCTGTCATAATGTTCAATTTGTTTTAAATGTATCCATTTTTTTTTCAAAACCTGTGAAAACTAAAAAGCATTTTTGAAAAATTTAAAGGCAGAATAAAATATGTATTAGAATAAATAAACAGTTTCTCTTGCATGCAATATTTTCAATTAAAAATTATACTACATTTTATCTTTTATTTTCACCCTTGTTACATAACATATTAAAATAAACATTGTAGAAGTTTTTAAAGACTTTATGCTCTCAGTAATAATGTAATATTTCATTCTGCGTTTAAATTTTTCAAAAATATTTATTAGTTTTCTCCGGATTCGAAAATAATTGATACATTTAAAACACATTGAAAATTTTGCCAGGCGACATTTGTCGCCTTTCCCCTTAATTAAATAAATGAATCTTTTAAAAATGGCAAGAAAACAGTTTATTTTTGAATGAAATAAAGAAGTTTTATTAAAACAAAAACACAGCGGTAAATGCATAAGAATGCAAATAATATTCTAATATCCTCCTGAGACCTGACCTGATCTTGTTTGTTTTTTTTTTTGATTAAATAATAGAATTTATTTGATGTTTAGTATAAAAACACATGTAAATTTTTCTGAATTTTTATTTTTTTGCTGAATGTGAAAAAAAAACATGTCCATTTAAAAGGACATCAGGATCGCATCAATACAAACTTATTGTAAATGAAATTGTTTAAAGCAATTATTATTTCCCGTTAAACATAAAAATATGTCACATGATTCACAATAAACGTTTGTTTTACCCTTACAACCTGGAAGCTTACATCTAACAGAATTTTTTAACTCGGATGCCATTGCAGAAATGTGTTGTATTTTTCT